CACCATAAATGTTAGTCACAACAAACCAGTAAATGTAAAAATTATTTTTTTTTTGTTTTGAAACTTCTTTTTGTTGTAAAAATGTTTCGTTATATATAAAAGCGAAAAAAGATGAGAATACCTAAAACGCTTTTTTGACAGGCTTTAGTCATCGGCTGGCTTCTTTTGAAAGGAAAAAACAAATGAGCGTAGTGCCAAAGTCGAACTATATCAACCTAAAACTCCTTTGTTTCTTTATGAAGAAGCCAGCGTCCAAAAAGCGTTTTATGTATTCTCACTTTAAGTGTTTTTAAGCCCAAAAATGTAAGTTTGCGTGTAGGAAGAAAACAACATGAATTCAAGTGTGTAAGATAGGATTTTCATGTTCAGGGTGAGATGAAAAAAAGTGCCACCAATTTCCTACTGCTGTCATTTCTAAGCCACTCGTTCGACAGCTGTTAAAATTATTCCAGTGACTGCTCATTATAGTTGTGTTCCAGAACCTGCAAATTAGTACTAATTAGCACTAATTCTGCTACAACGCGTTCCCGTACTCCAAAAACTAGCAAAACTTGCAGCTCTCTCGAGAAAAAAATGGCGCTGAGTGGTGCACATTTCTGCTTGTTTTAGCTACATGAATTTGGCCGAGCAGAAATGTGCATATTGTAAATTTGACATTTAATTGGCAGGGCTAACAAGGTTGAAAAATGTATTGATACATTTCAATGAGGAAAATGATCAACTTGAAAACTAAAGGAAAAACTAATATTTGTCGTGCAAAAACAAAAATAGAAAATATGGAGCAACTGATGTATTCACTTTTGGATGATTCCAGCAGTGAAGAGGACTGGCTGAATGAGGAATCAGATTATTAATTATTATTATAAATTATTTATTTTAACTTATAGTCTTCAATACTCATTTTTTAAATGTTGGCGCTCTTTTCTGTAAGGTTTTACCAGTCCGATTTAGGCTGTTTACTTTTGGAATTTTGACATTTTAACGCTATTCTGCTAATTTTCCGTTCCCTTATTTTTTGAGCAAACCTAAATGAGAATGACATTTCGAACTGTTCTCTCTTCTGCTAGTTTTACTACTAAAAAAGTACTGGAACACAACTTATATTTTTGACAATCGTACAAAAGCATTTTGGTGAGAATTTTACAGAACAAAAGTTAAGCTGGGAATACATAAAGCGCTTATTTGGCTGGCTTCTTCTGAAATGAATAAAGGAGCCTGGGGCCAAAATCGAATTAGGTCAACCTAAAACTCTTTTGTTCATCTACGAAGAAGCCAGCCAAATATGCGCTTTATGTATTTCCAGCCTTATTCGTGATGGAATTCAAGGGTGATTTCTTTATATTTGGCTGGAAAACCACAAGTGGCTATCGTTGGAGCACTCCAGCATTTAAATGTGATTAAATCTTTTGTGTCTCGTACCATCGCTCGTTACTGTGATACTGGTAACGTAGCCCGATCCGTCAAGGAAGTGGACGGAAGAAAACAGCAACATCAGCAGAAATGGTTCGAACAGTAAAGAAGCGACCCGCGATCAAAACCCGCGTAGCAGTGGCCGAAAAATGGCTCGTGAGCTGAACATATCGCAATATTCCATTTGGCAAATATTGAAAAATTAGCTCGGGGTAAATTCCAAAAAGTGCAAGAACTCACACCGCAACAGAAAGAAAATAGACTCAAAAGAGCTAAAGAGTTGCTTCGCTTGGCCGAAAGTGGTGAACTGCCGAATTTGGTATTCTCCGATGAGAAAACATTCGTTGTCCAGCAGTTTGCAAACAAACAAAATGATCGTGTTTACTTGGCAAAGAGGTCAGCTGAAAATGTGCACCTTCGCTTGGCCACCAGAACTTAAACGGCGGCCATGGTGATGGTGTGGATCACCATAACAGCCGATGGTCGCTCTTCGCTCATATTAATCGACCGTGGCATCGGAATAAATACTGAATGTTGTCCCAAAAATATTCTGGAGGGTGTATTAAAGCCTTGGGCACGCAAAACATTTTGGTCGCATACCTTGGACATTCCAACAGGACTCAGCACCATAGCACTCAGCACGCGCCATCCAAGAATGGTTACAAAATGAGCTTCCTAGCTTCATTTCCAGGTGGCACAATGGCCACCAAAATCTCCGAATACCAATCTGTTGGACTATTGTGTCTGGAGTATTTTGGAAAGCAAGGTTGGTACTTAAAAATACCAAAGTGTCGACGACCTCAAGCAACTCGCCGGGAATGGGCCAAAATACCGCAGAGCAACATTCGGCCAGCGTGTAACGGTTTCATTGGCCGTTTGAAAGTCATAATTCGTGCCAAAGTTGACCAATTCGAACAAATCTAAACTTATTTTAAAATTTGATGCTTTTTCCGACATTTTTGAAACAATACAATTTTTAAATTGTAAAAAAATTAAGAATTATGGAATTTGGCTTTGTTGCAGTTTTTTCTAACGCTGTACCTAGGCCCGTTCTTATATCTTTCCTTTATAGTCTACCTTTGTTATCCCTTACTTTAGGAAAAATGAAGTATAAACTTCACATTATCGGGTTCTCATTATTTCATATTTCCTTTAAAAAATATGCATTTTTTACAGAGATATGGCAAGCTTTTTGTAAAAGTAACCGGTAGTCACTGCATTTTTTTCACAATGGCATCTTCATTTCATTTTAAAAATAATAAACAAAATGTGATTTTGTAATTAATTTCGTGAATTAAACTTATAATTCAGTTGTTTAATATAAAATAAACGATTTGCGTTATCCATTTTTTTATTTTAATAAATGTTGCTGTTATTGCCATATTATCAATATAAAATATGGCAACATGAATTCGGTAAACTTTATTTTGTCGGACTCATAGGTCCGTTCTTATATCTTTCCTTTATAGCCCACTTTTGTTATCCCTTATTTTAGGAAAAGTGAAGGATAAAGTTCACATTATCGGGTTCTCATAATTACATCTTTCTTTTAAAGAGATATGGGAAGCTTTTTATAAAAGTAACTGATAGTCACTGGATTTTTTCACAATGGCATCTTAATTTTAGTTTAAAAATAATAAAAAATATGCGAATTTGTAATTAGTTTCGTGAATTAAATTTATAATTCAGTTCTTCAATATAAAATAAACGATTCGCCTTATCCATTTTTTATTTAAATAAATTTTGCTATTATTGCCACATTATCAATATAAAATATGGCAATTGTTATTCTTCAAGGCAATATATTTTGTATAAAGTTTCGAAAAAGAATAAAGCAGGTGGTTGGCGTAGTTCAATTCTCGCCATAATTTATACTTGGTCACCCTACGCATAAAAGCTTTTTTGACTTGCTTAAAGTGAGAATACATAAAACGCATTTTTTGACTGGCTTAAGTCGTCGGCTGGCTTCTTCGGAAATGAACAAATGAGCCTAGGGCCAAAATCGAACTAAGTCAACCTAAAACTCCTTTATTCCCCTACGAAGAAGCCAGCCATTGACTTAAGCCAGTCAAAAAAGCTTTTTTATGTATTCTCACCTTTTAATTCTTCAGTTGTCTTCTTCTTAAAAAAAACAGAAGGTGAACAAGTATAAATTATGAGCCGAAATTAACCTTAAATTCCTTTGTTATTTTACGAAGAAGCCAGCCGATGACTTAAGCCAGTAAAAAATCATTCTATGTTTATGAATCTTTAAGTATTCCCACCTTATGCCCTACCGATGGGAGCAATGTTGTTAATCTTAATTTAAACATTATTTACATAATTTTGCGTTTTAAAATTTGCGGATATTTGTCTGTAACTTAAAAAGCGATTTAAGGTGAGAATACATAAAATTATTTTGTAGACTGACTTAAGTCATAGGCTGGCAAAGGGTTGACTTAGTTCAATTTCGAATTAGGTTTACTTAGTTCAATTTCGAACCGTAATTTATACTTGTGTACCCTATACATAACAAGCTTTTTCAAGTAGCTTAAGTTATCGACTGACTTTTTTTTTGTAAAAGAACAAAGGAGCGTAGGACGAGCAAGTATAAATTATCGGCCGAAATTGAACTAAGTCAGCCTAGAACTACTTTGTTTGTTTTTACGAAGAAGCCTGGCGATGAATTAAGCCAGTCAAAAAAAAAAAAACATTTTATGTACTCTCACCTTTTTTTTACGAAGAAACCAGCAGATGAAGAAGCCTTTTATGTATTCTCACCTTTAGAGAATCCCACTACTGATCACCAAAAACAAGTTTGGGTATTTATACAATTAGTACATAAACCATGGTAAAATTAAGAAGGTAAATTCATTTCAAATAAGCATACCCATCTCTGCATTTTCTGTAATTTACCTTGTCACATTTCACTACATAAAAACAAGTTCCCATCGCAGATTTGTTTATGTACAATGGATTTATAAATACAAATTTTGACAATGAGATGTTGTCAAATGAATAAGTTTTGAAAAAAAAAAAATTGTAAACATATAATTGCATGACTTTACCTCCTTGATTCTATTATGACATAAGCTCTATTGTCTTGCCTTGTGTAAACGCAGGGTTATTGTTTTTATTTTTTTTTAATTTAATAATCCATCCACCACACATGATTAAAGGTGGGAATACATAAAGCGCTTTTTTTTTGGCTGGCTTAAGTCATCGGCTGGCTTCTTCGAAAATGAACAAAGGAGCCTAGGGCCATTTCCGAACTAAGTCAACCTAAAACTCCTTTGCCCCTCTACGAAAAAACCAGCTGATGATTTAAGCTATCCAAGGAAGTGTTTTATGAATTCTCACCTTTAGAGAATCTCACTTCTGGTCACAAAGACAAGTTTGGATATTTTTATAATTAGTACATAAATTCTATTGTCCTGCCTTGTGTAAACGCAGGGTTATTGTGTTTATTATTTAATTTAATAATCAATTCACCACACAGGATTAAGAAGCAATTTTTGATTTTTTAACATTTAATTATTTTAATACCCCGTTTGTTAGACACCTTAGATAATACGGAACAATCACCTTAAAAGCAACTAGATGTCACTTACCTTGTGGCACATCACTGCCCATATAGAGTGGAGCTCCCTCGTAATCCACCACATTACCGTCATTGTCAAAATAAATCGTTAGATTACCAACATATTTGGCATAAGCTCCAGCCTGGACAATTAAAACACGATGACCCGTTGGCGAATGCCTAACAATTGTGGGATAATCTCCTTTGGGCACATCTGGTCCCGGTGGCGTATCACCCGTATACAGAAATGTATGAGAATGTGAACCAACAATGACATCAATTTCAGAGCCTGCCTTTTCGGCTATCAACTTATCCACATCATAACCGCAGTGGGATAAGACAATTATGATATTGGCTCCTTGGGCCTTTAGTTTGGCGGCCTCTTCCAAAATGGTTTCACTTTCATTGCGGAATATTAATTTTCCCGTATTCGAAAGATCCTGAGACAAAGAAAAATCCATCAGAAAACATTCAATTAATGAATACCTTCAATCTCACATATGTCGTTTCCAAAATAACGCCAATAACACCAATCTTACGGCCACTGCGTTCAATAATCATGGAGGGTTGATATTTCCCTTCCATTGTGGGCTCATTTCGGGCATCGATGTTGGCCACCAACATGGGACTGTCCAGGGCATCCAGAAATGGTACAACACCCTCAACGCCATGATCAAATTCATGATTACCCAGAGTCTGTAATTGCATCTCATTAATAAATTTTTAAAATAAAAAAGGTTCGATTAATCTCACCATAGCATCGGCTGGCAATAGATTCAGAAACTGACTCGTAACATTCCAACGTCCCACATTATACCATAGAGTACCCTGAAAACTATCACCGGCATTGAAGTACACAACATTGTTTTCTTTTTGCTGCTCCAGCAATTGCCTCACGGTATAAACTGTACGAGCATAGCCTCCAATGCATTCGTTGGGAGACTCACATGCTCCGCCAGCGGTATCGGTGGGTTCATATCTATTTAAAAGTAGAAAGTACAGACATATGCATGTCATAAGTAAAATCGGCATAAAGGTACAGATTCATAATAGGTTTTTTACGGGCTAAAAAAACAGCTACATAAAGCGCTATTTTTACTGACTTAAAGGTGAGAATACATAAAACGCTTTTTTGTCTGGCTTAAGTCATCGGCTGTCTTCTTCGGAAAAGGAAAACGGAGCGTAGGGCCAAAATCGAACTATGTCAACCTAAATTGACTTTTCACTGGCTTAAAGATGAAGCTACTTAAAGCGCTATTTTCACTGGCTTAAAGGTGAGAATACATAAAACGCTTTTTGTCTGTTTTAAGTCATAGGCTGACTTCTTCAGAAAAGAACAAAGAAGCGTAAGGCCAAAATCGAACTATGTCAACCTAAAACTCCTATGTTTCTCGACGAAGAAGCCAGCCGATGACTGAAGTCAGTCAAAAAAGAGTTTTATTTATTCTCACCTTTAATTCATCGGGTAGGTTCTTCGTAAAAGAACAAAGGTGATTTAGGTTGACTAGTTTAATTTCGGACCATACTCTCTTGTTGACACTAGAAAAGTATTGATGTGATCTATGCGCCAAACTAAAAAGGGAATTCCCCTCTCCCATTGAAGTTCCATTATTTCCACTTTGTCGATGATGATCTGCAGTGGAGTTCTCAAGCTCATTTTTGAGTTACCGACAAAAGTCGGTAAAATTAAAATGCTTATAATTTCGGTAATGAAGAAATCAAGGTAGTCGCTAAAGTTGTGAGTTGGTCAGACGCGGATCTGAGTCAGTAGATCTAGAGCTTGAGAGCTCAGTGAAGCCACTTCTTCCAAGTACTGCATAAACACTATCTTGGGAGATAGCTAACTGGAAACGGAAAGGGAGAACTGGCTAACTGCAAGGGAATGTAATGTCTACAAAAAGATTTTGCCGGTGAACTCCGAAAGGTCTAGGTCACTCATATCCATGACGAAGCTGTACTTGTGGTGGGCCTAATTACAGGACATTGCAACATAAAGGCCATGACATCCAAATGGAGGGGTGACGACACTGAAGGAGGAGCACTTAAGGTGGGAATACATAAAGCCAGATTAAGTCATCGGTTGGAAATGAAAAATTAAAAGCCTAGGGCCAAAATCGAACTATGTAAACCTAAAACTCCTTTGTTCATCTGCGAAGAAGCCAGCATAGGACTTAAGCCAGCCACATATGCGTTTTATGCATTCCCACCTTTACTCTGCCACTGCTCAACTCTTATAGGAGTGAGACAGAGACTATTAGATAAGCAATAAATTCTGCCAGACTTGTCCTCCCTCTCCGACATCGAGCCAGCGGTCATTTAGGCACACGACTAAAATGGCTAAAGATGGGAATACATAAAGCGCATATCTGGCTGGCTTCTTCGGAAATGAACAAAGGAGCATAGGGCCAAAATCGATCTATGTCAACCTAAAACTCCTTTGTTCATCTACGAAGAAGCCAGCCGATGACTTAACGCTTTATGTATTTCCTAACTTCTCTACTCTTTATTCAGATTCTCGCTTCTTCACCATCCGTTATTCGTTTCCTTTTTTTTATTCTATTCTCATGTTGGGATTTGGATGAACACAATGGACCTATAGGTCTCCGAGTGGAGTGGTTGTTTATACACCCGCGCATCCTTTAACCTAACCTAAAGGTGTGAGTACATAAAAGCCTTTTTTGACTGGCTTAAGTCTTCGCGGTGGAACAAAGGAGTTCCATTTGGACCTACCCTCCTTTGGTCTGTTCCGAAAAAGCCAGCCGATGAATTAAGCCAGTCAAAAAAGCGTTTTATGTATTCTGACTTTAAGATCTACCGATAGATACCAACGTTGTCAACTTTAACTTCCTTTTATACCCTACACCACAAAGTGGTCAGGGTATTATGTCTTTGTGCATTTGTTTGTAACAGGCAAAAGGAGACGAGATAGACCCATAGTTCCTTTTGGCGATCTGCATAGAATCACAGTCTGAATCGATTTATGCATGTCCGTCCGCCTGTCCGTCTGTTCATGTATTTTTGTAAACAAAGTACAGTTCGCATTTATTGCCCGATCCAGATGAAATTTTGCACAAATAATTTGTTTGACCCAAGGACGAACCCTATTGAAATTGGAATTGAAAATAATCTGTAAAAATTTAGATATAGCTCCCATATATATCTTCGTCCGATTTGCCTTATATTGTGCTCCAAGCGTGTAATATCAGCCCGAATAGAATGGAATTTTGCACATACAATCAAATGAAAATAAGTATGCCAAATTTGATGGAAATCGGTTCAGATATAGCTATAGCTCCCATATATATTGTTCATCCGATTTGTTATTTTTGTCCACCGCAGCCGTAATATGCCCTTTTAACAATATTTGGGGAAATATATCAAATGCATCTCAGAAATACCTTTGCTAAAGGATATAGCTGCCATTTGGATTAGATTTGGATATAGCTCCCATATATAACTTCGTCCGATTTACTCTTTTTTGTGCACCAAACGTCTAATATTTGTCCAAATGGGATAAAATTTGGCACTTACGACCGAATTGAGTCTAGAAGCTAGTATGTCAAATTTGGTGAAGATCGGTTCAGATATAGCTATAGCGCCCATATATAATGTTCATCCGATTTGTTATATTTGTTACCCACAGCCGTAATATGCACTCCGTAACAACGATATTCCGGGAAATATATCAAATACAGCTCAGAAATATCTTTGCCAAATTTTTTCGAGATCGGTTCAGATTTGGATTTAGCTCCCATATATATCTTTATCCGATTTCAAATTAATTGTGCACCAATTATAATTATAATCATAGCGCGTGTATGATTGAATTCTCCCATAACAACTTTTAATTGTTATGTGGAGCTCTACTAAATTAGCAAAGTGGTGTAGGTTTTATAAAGTCGGCCCCGCCGGCTTTAAGACTTTCTTTACTGGTTTACCGATTTTTGTCGGTAACTTAAAAAAATGAGTTGGGGAATGCCTCTACTGATGCCGTTACTTATGGGATTTCCGCACACAAGAAGTGTTCCCGGCGAGGATGATTCATTTTGAATCTGCAGACTAACTTGAGTTTCATCTTGTTTAAATTTTCTATTTCCTATCATTGGATTGCTTTCTTGGTGTCGATACGGTCCAAGGCACAGAAAGTGCTGTTTGAGACACTCTATTCCATGAAAACGTCCCTATAGATAATGAGGAATTTTCTTATGGGAAGTTGCAGCTAAGAGTTGTTACAATGCAGATGAGTTCGTTTTCAATTTAAATACTCAAGGTGCAGGTACGTAGAAGACTTTTTTTAGTTGCTCCTCCAAAAGCATTTTATGTGATCTTACCTTTAAGGTGGGAACACATAAAACGCTTTTTTGATTGGCTTTAGTCATCGGCTGACTGCATTGGAAAAGAACAAAGGAGCTTAGGGCAAAAATCGAACTAAGTCAACCTAAGACTCCTTTGTTCCTCTCTAGCCAGTCCAAAAGTCTTTTATGTATTCTCACCTTAAAGCTTTTTTGCAAAGCTTAAAGACTTTTTTGTGGGGATTTTCGAAGTGGCAGGTTTATGTCAACAAGCCTCAGACTCTTTCAGCTCTTAAAGACAATATCCGTCAAGAAAGTGAGGAAGTTTTGGCCAAAGTGATGGAAAATGCCATAAAAAGGGCTCAAATGACAATAAACTGTGGCGGCGGTCAATTACATGTCATCATATTCTTGATTTAAAAAAAAAAAAAAAACTAAACGACCAAATAACAAGTTAAAAAGCAGTAAGTTCGGCCTGGCCGAACTTTGAATACCCTTCACCATTTGGAACGAATTTGAAAATTTTCAAAATATAAAATCCTTAAAATTTTAAAAATACCGAATATAGCCGTTGTATTGGGGTCTATACGACGTGGACCTACATTGGCATTGTTTGTCATAAGCCATTACCATATTCGAATTTGAAACAAACGGAGAATAATGTAGCTAAAATCATCAAAATATCGTATATAGAGAGGTACCGTTATATGGGAGCTGTGCGAAGACCTGGACCAGCATAAACAATTTTCTGTCAAAGGCTGTAGCATCCATTGCGAACTTCAAATACGACATCTCAAACAATTTCGGTGGGTTTTGTACCTAAACTCGTCAAAATACCGAATATAGGGAGGTACTGATATATGGGGTCTATACGAAGACCTGGACCTGAATAGACAATATTCTGTCACAGACTGTAGTTCCCATTACGAACTTCAAATAACAAATTTGAACCAATTCCGGTGAATAATTGGGGGTTATTTGGGGGCTATATGAAAACGTGGACTTACATGGCCCATTTTCAATACCAAAAGTCCTGCATTTCCTTCTTTGTGGGGTCTAAAATGTATATTTCGAGGTGTTACAAATGGAATGACAAACTTAATATACCCTCCATACTATGGTGGAGGGTATAAACACAGTTGCATATCATTAGTATGTGAATTTCGGTTCGGATTTAAAATAAACACGGTCGTGAGAAGATATATTTTTATATGGTAAATCTGGCTGACAAAATCCTGCTAATGTGGATAAATCCGCACAAAATTGTGTATCTAAACGCGATAATAACAATTTATATTCGCTGAATTTATTACATGTAAACCATATGTAAAAAATTTTTATACGTTCTCTTATACGACGTCAATGAAAAGTTATTATAATATGCACCTTTCTTCAATTTTCAAATTCGAACAATTTTTTAGTCAAAATTTTCAATTCCAAAATTGATTTGACAGTTCATTGTCCCACCAGCTGTGTCGATGCTTCTACCAGTATTCTTCTACCATGATGTAAACAAACTTTTATGTTCTATACTTGGTATCCCACTTCTTGAAATTAATGCTTCGACACAGCTTCTGGGACAATGAACTGTCAAACCAATTTTGGAATCGAAATTTTTGAATGAAAAATTACTCAAATTTGTAAAAATTGTTAAAAAAATGCATATTATAAAAACCTCCGATTGGCGACGTGTAGGAAAACATATATAAATATACTTTTTTTTGAAGAAATCTTTGAAAAAAAAGTAGACATATCAATGTTCTCAAGCGTTGATGCATCTACCTGCATTCTTCTACAATGCTTGGAATACTTGTTCTTATCTAAAACTTGCTTTACACCGGTGTCTAAATTACGCGTTTAACACAGATTTGAAATTTACTTGATCTATAAATAATGCAATGGACAATCCGTGTTCGCAAAAATAAGGCTTAAAATCCAAATGAAACGACCGATTTTATTACAAATTTACTTTGTTCATAATTATGATAATAAAACACTAGAAATAATCTAAAATAAAATATCCGCACACCGATAAACAAGCAAACACACACACCTTGCATGAAAATCATTTATATGTATTATTGATAATGGAAACAATTCCGATTTCGGTGGGTTTAGTTGGGCATTTACGATGTTTAAATTGGCCGTTAAGCAAACGATGGCCGCGAACAAAAACAAGAGTTTCATATTTGTTATTGTTTTCTGTTTTTTTTTTTTTTTTGGTGTTGACTTCAATGACGCGGAGCACCGAAAATAAAAAGAAAAAAACAATATTTTCGTTTAGCGACTGCGAAGTTTACCCGCACACCGTACGAACAAGTGGAGAAGCGCAGAACTGACTGAATTTCAGATTGCCCGCTACACATAGTTAGTATTTGTTTACATGGGTTTAATTCAATAAAGTCAATTAGCAAAAGCAGTCGGACCAATATTGACGATCGTGACTGTTTTTGATTTTCTCTTTGCTCTCATTGCTCTCGCATGCGCTTCGTCAATGCCATCTAAAAGAGATATTTTGCACGAATGCACTTTTGAGATTGCTGAGTTGTCGTTTTGAGTGTTTCGATAAAGGTTTGCAGGTGTTTACAGTGACGCCAAGTGAATTCAAGTTAATGAAATCAAGTAATGAATAAAAACCAGTAAAGAAAGTTTTAAAGTCGAGCGGGGCCGAATTTAGGATACCCTACACCACTTTGCTAATTTAGTAGAGCTCCACATAACAATTAAAAGTTTTTATGGGAGAATTCAATCACACAAGCTACGATTATAATTATAATTTAAAGTTCAAAGGACTAAATATGCCGACGCATATTTTTTTAAATTCGGACTTTTATTGCCCATTTGGTGCATAATTAATTTGAAATCGTATAAAGATATATATGGAAGCTATATCCAAATAGGAACCGATCTCGATAAAATTTGGGAAAGATATTTCTGAGCTGTATTTGATATATTTCCCTGAATATCGTTGTTACGGAGTGCATATTACGGCTGTGGGTAACAAATATAACAAATCGGATGAACATTATATATGGGAGCTATAGCTATATCTGAACCGATCTTCACCAAATTTGACGTACTAGCTTCTAGACTCAATTCGATCGTAAGTGCCAAATTTCATCCCATTTGGACAGATATTAGACGTTTGGTGCACAAAAAAGGGTAAATCGGACGAAGTTATATATGGGAGCTATATCCAAATCTGAACCGATCTCGATAAAATTTAGCAGATGTATTTCTGAGCTGCATTTGATATATTTCCCCAAATATTGTTGTTACAGAATGCATATTACGGCTGCGGAGGACAAAAATAACAAATCGGATGAACAATATATATGGGAGCTATAGCTATATCTGAACCGATTTCGATCAAATTTGACATACTTATTTTCAGGTCTAATTTGGTTGTATGTGCAAAATTCCATACTATTTGGGCAAATCGGACGAAGATATATATGGGAGCTATATCTAAATTTTGACCGATTATCTCCAATTTCAATAGGGTTTGTCCTTGGGCTAGACAAATGATATGTGCAAAATTTCATCTGGATAGGGCAATAAATGCGAACTGTACTTTGTTTACAAAAATACATGGACAGACGGACAGGCGGACATGCATAAATCGACTCAGAATGTGATTCTATGCAGATCATCGAAAGGAACTATGGGTCTGTCTCGTTTCCTTTTGCCTGTTACAAACAAATGCACAAAGACATAATACCCTGACCACCTTGTGGTGTAGGGTATAAAAAAAAAACAATAAAATCAAAAAGGGAAACCATGGTAGAACTAAGAAGGTAAAGTCATATAATCATATGTTTACATATGTCATTTCTAAGCCACTCGTCCGACAGCTGTTAAAATTATTCTAGCTCCAAGAGCTCATTATATTGCTTACAAGCGTGCAAAAGCTTTTTGGTGAGAATTGTCCAGAAAAAAACTTATTCGTGAAGAAATTTAAGCGTGATAGTGTGATTTCTTTATATTTGGCTGGAAACCCACAAGTGGCTATCGTTAGAGCACTCCAGCATTTAAATCTGAATAAATCGTTTGTGTCTCGTACCATCGCTCGTCACCGTGATACCGTGGTAGTGTAGCCCGACGTCAAGGAAGTGGACGGAAGAAAACAGCAAGATCAGCGGAAATGGTTCGAAAAGTAAAGAAGAGACTTGATCGAAACCCGCGCCGCTGTGGCCGAAAAATGGCTCGTGATCTGAACTTATCGCAATATTCAATTCGGCAAATATTTAAACGTGAGCTCGGGGTAAGTCATTGAAATTCCGAAAAAATGCAAGAACTTACACCGCAACAGATAGAAAATAGACTCAAATGAGCTAAAGAGTTTCTTCGCTTGGCCGAAAGTGGTGAACTGCCGAATTTGGTTTTCTCCGATGAGAAAACATTCGTTGTTCAGCAGTTGGTAAACAAACAAAGAGGTAAGCTGAAAATGTGCCCCTTCGGTTGGCCACCAGAACTCCAGCGCCGGGCATGGTGATGATGTGGGCTGCCATAGCAGCCGATGGTCGCTCAGAATTGTATCAGAATAAATGCCGAATATTATCGCGAAAATATTCTGGAGGGTGCTAAAGCCTTGGGCACGCAAACATTGTGGATGCAGACCTTGGACATTCCAAAAGGACTCAGCACCATTGCACTCAGCACGATGGCCACCCAAGAATGGTTACAAACTGAGGTTCCACGTTTCATTTCCAGCGCACAATGGCCACCAAAATCTCCGGATACCAATCCCAACCAACTATTGTGTCTGGAGTATTTTGGAATGCAGGGTTGGCACTAAAAACTACCAAAGTGTCGATCACCTAATGCTAGCGCTTCGCCGGGATTGGACCAAAATACCGCAGAGCAACATTCGGGGAACGTGTGACAGTTTCATTGGCCGTTTGAAGGCCATAATTCGTGTCAAAGGTGATCAATTCGAAAAAATCTAAAGTTATTCAAAAATAGAACAGTGTTGCTTGTTTGTTCGGGATACCGTAGTATTTTGTTGTTGCAAAATAGTCAGGCTTTATGCCTTTATTGTTGTTTTTATAAAAACAAAGTTTGTTTATTATTCAAAAATTTGATGCCATTCTCGACATGTTTTTGCTTTCAGTCAATAACATTTAAAAAAAAGACATGTAAAAATTATGGCGTTTTACTTTGTTTTTTTTTATCGCACCCTGTAAACAAATTAAACCTAAAATTCCTTTGTCAGGCAAAGACTCTAGTCAGTAAAAATATTCTTCTATGTATCTGCACCTTAAGATAGAAGTTTGGATCCTTTGAATGTATGAAAGGTTTGACAAAAATGGCATAATATGGCGCCCAATATAGACGGACATTGTTAAAGAAAAATATTCTGAAAGGAAGGTGTATAAAATACTTTGTAGAAACTTTTACGTGCGGTTGAGGCGCTGGGAAAATATAGCAATAAACAATAAATATTCTAAAATTACATATTTGATCCAGCCGCCATAAAATATCACGCTACGATAATGTGAGAGATTATAAAGGTTATGACCCACACGCACAGATAACGATGCACTCAGTAGATGTACCAGATCACTTGAATGAAATGATAAGAAGTCCTGCAATGTTCTCCATACAATATTAAAATAGATAAGAATAATTTTGTGGCTGCGATTAGGTTAAGTTAGCTTAGTGTCAGTAGTACTTAATGAACATATTTAAAAAAAAAAATGGTTGAATCTACACCCAAAACGATGTGGTTGTATTCCTTTCTCACTTTGACAATCGAGGAGGGAGGTTGGATCCTGTTCTCATTATGGTAAACAGAAGGTATTGGTCAAAAGCTGCCTGCGTTCTACGCGATCGCCCAATAGATGCTATTCAACAACACATTTTCCACTTTTTTTGACTTTGCCATTAAAGAAGCTCTTTATGTAGCTGTATGATCGGGTTGTCAGAACATCTTTTTTGTATGGTACATCTGGTTGAATACACCCGGATTAAGCAATAAAATCTGACAATGTGGTTCAATACGAATAATATTTTGTATCTATACGTGCTATATTTGAATTTCTATTCCGCACTCGTCTGAAATAAAACTGATTGAAAACATTGTCCTTTTTTAAAAATTTAATACTGTGACTTTATTTTATTTATTAAAATATAATTGGCTAAGGTCGGCTTCTATGTCTTCACACAACTTTAATACGACCCTCAATGCCACTGTAAATGGGCGAGACAGTCTCAGTGTAGGCCAACAAAGCATCCAAATCGGTAACGTAGGGCCTATAAAGAAAAACGATATATGTTAACATTTAAAAGAGAAAACATTCAATTGTCAAATTCCGACAACTTACTGGACATTAGTGCCATAATCACGGAACATGTGGAAACCATCACCACCATCCTGCAAGAAATTGGGCGCCACAATACGATATGTCGCCTTTTCATCAAAGGTTTCGTATCTTGGCACCGAACAAGAACTACAGCGCACCTTCAAATTCACAACACGTTGATTTACCGGTTTCTTAAAATCATAGGTAATCTTCAGACCAGACACTTGTAGGAAAATACTGGAACTTGTTACATTATTTTCATAGTCAATTTTACTAACACCAAATTCCAGAGCTTCCCGCAATTTATCAGCGGGCAAATCGAAGGCGGTTAAAACATTCTCAAACGGTGACATCGTCACAATGTGGGAATAGGTGAGGTCTGGCAAGGAGTTAAAAAAAAGAAATTGTAATAATAATATCGTGGAAACTTGAAATTATTTGCAAGCCTTACTTCCTTTGTACAGAGGAACTCTCAAGGCTCCAGTATTGACCAGACCAATGGGTACAGTTGTCCAATCTGGTTTCTCATATGGTGCTAAATTGAGGAACTGAAAACGATTAAAATGTTTAGTAGAAAGGTCTATGATAAAGTATTCTTCAACATGACTTACCGCATGCACCATGGCATCTGTGAAAAAGTTACCCAAATTACATTCTTGATAACTGCAGGGACTTTTCAGAAGATCCACCACCGTTTCACCCACAACAACTTTGCCTTGGGCATCAATGACCTCTTGCCAGGGTTTCATGGCTTCAACAACTTCTGGATCTGTAATGCAGTAAAAGAAGCTTATTATTAGGAAGTTTTGTCGGAAGAACTTATCAAATAATGTGCATGATATTATCGATTTTTATTTGCTCCTAGGTAAAACGATTTTGAAGAATTGATTTAACTTCTTGGTTCAATTTTGCCAATAGATGCTAGCTCACAGTTCCTTCACATACTCTTTCCATATTATAAATAAAATGCAGTGCAGAAGAGGAATTGAATCCTGAAGTATGTGAAAAATATTACGCCCAAAACAAAAGCCGGATGCTCGGATCCACAAAAATTCTGATAGAAATTATAAAATATGGCGCCCAATCTCAAAAGGTAATGCCAGTCATATTCAGCTTCAACCTTTCTTCCATTCAAATCACTTAATAAATTTATTATAAATTAAATAAATTATTAGCCGAAATTAAACCTAAAATTCCTCTGTCAGGCAATGACTCTAGTCAGTAAAAATAAATCCACGAAAATTCTGATAAAAATTATTAAATATGGCGCCCAAAACGAAAGCTGGATGCTCGGATGCACAAAAATACTGATAGAAATTGTAAAATATGGCGCCCAATTTCAGCAGGCACTACCAGTCATGTGCAGCTCCAACCTTTCTTCCATTCAAACCACTTAATCAAATAATTACAAATTATTGGCCGAAATTAAACCTAAAATTCCTTTGTCGGGCAATGACTCTAGTCGGTAAAAATATTCTTCTATGTATCTGCACCTTAAGATAGAAGTTTGTATTCTTTGAATGTATGAAAGGCTTGACAAAAACGACATAATATGGCGCCCAATATGGACGGACATTATCAAAGAAAAATACTCTGAGAGGAAGGTGTACAAAATACTTTGTACATACTTTTGAGTGCGGTCGAGGCGCTTGGAAAATCTAGCAATAAACAATAAATATTCTAAAATTACATATTTTTGCCAGCCGCGATTAAATATCTCGTGTGAATAATTCGGTGATCTTGTGCGCTGACGCATACCATAATGTGTGAGATAATAAAGTTTATGACCCACAAGCACATATATCGATTGGGTCTGTAGAGTTACCAGACCACTTGAATAAAATGACAAGAAGTCCTGCAATGAGGAAGGCGTACAAAATACTTTGTACATATTTTTGAGTGCGGTTGAGGCGGTGGGAAAATCTGGCAATAAACAATAAATATTCTAAAATTACATATTTTTGTCAGTCGCGATAAAATATCACATGTGAATAATTCGGTGATCTTGTGCGCTGACGTATACCATAATGTTTGAGATAATAAAGGTTATGACCCACACTCACAGATATCGATGGGCTCAGTAGATGTACCAGACAACTTGAATGAAATGACAAGCAGTCCTGTAATGTTCTCCATACAATATTAGAATAGATAAGTATAATTATGTGGCTGCGATTAGGTTAAGATAGATTACTTTCAGTAGAACTTAAGGAACATACAGGGTGAGATAAAAAAAAATGCAACAAAGTCAAAGCCATAATTTAAAAATTTGTATACCCTCCATCATAGTATGGGGGGTATATTAAGTTTGTCATTCCGTTTGTAACACCTCGAAATATAAAATTTAGACCCCACAAAGTATATATTCATGATCAGCATAAAATTCTATGTCGATTTAGCGATGTCCGTCCGTCTGTGGAAATCACTCTCGCTTCCGAAAGAATTGAAGTAGATTGATAAAATTTAACTCAAATGTATGCTATGTCTGCAGGACTTTTGGTATTGAAAATGGGCCATACATATGTCAACGTTTTGTTATAGCCCCCATATATGGTACCTCCCCAAATTCGATATCTTGATGATCTTAGCGACATTATTCACCGGAATTGATTCAAATTTGGTATTTGAAGTTCGAAATGGATACTACAGCCTAAGACAAAAAATTGTCTGTACCGGCCCACGTCTTCGTATAGCCCCCATATAACAGTACCTCCCGATATTCGGTATTTTGATGATTTTAGATACAATGTTACAGATTTTTTAAGTTTCGCATTTGAATATTGTAATGGTTAATGACAAATGTTACCTATGCAGGTCCACGTCGTCCCTAGTATAACAGGTACATTCGGCATTTTTAAGATTTTAACAGGATTTTTAACAGATCTAATTGTTTTTGAGAATTGCCAAATTCGTTCCAAATGGTGGAGGGTAGTCAAAGTTCGGCAAGAAAAAATAAAAAGCAAAAAATTTCGGAAATAGCATCAAATTTTAGAATAAGTTTAAGTTTGTTCGAATTGGTCACCCTTGGTACGAATTATGGCCTTCAAATGGCCAATGACGCTGCCGAATGTTACTCTGCTGTATTTTTTACGGTTATGATCTTCAAACGGCCTTTGAAACCGTTACACGCTGTCCAAATTTTGATCTGCGGTATTTCAGTCCATTCCCGGCGAAGCGTTTGCTTGAAGTGATCGACACTTTGGCAATTTTTAGTGCCAACCTTGCTTTCCAAATACTCCAGACACAATGGTCCAACGGATGGGTATCCGGATATTTTGGTGACCATTGTGCGCTGGAAATGAAGCGGGGAATCTCATTTTGTTACCATTCTTGGGTGGCCATCGTGCTGAGTGCGATGCTGCTGAGTCCTGTTGGAATGTCCAAGGTTTGCATGCCCATGGCTTTAATACAGAATATTTTCGCGATTATATTCTTCATTTATTCTGATGCCACGGTCGATTAATACGAGCGGAGAACGACCATCGGCTGTTATGGCGGCCCACACCATCACAATGGCCGGCGCTTGAGTTCTGGTGGCCAACCAAGTAAACACGATCATTTTGTTTGTTTACAAACTGTTGGACAACGATTGTTTTCTCATCGGAGAAAACCAAATTCGGCAGGAACCTCATTTTGTAACCATTCTTGGGTGGCGCGTTCTGATTGTGATGGTGCTGAGACCTGTTGGTCTGTGGCCAAAATGTTTGCGTCCCCAAGGCTTTAATACACCCTCCAGAATATTTTCGCGACAATATTAGGCTTTTATTACGAGCGGAGAGCGACCATCGGATGTTATGGCGGTCCATACCATCACCATAACTGGCGCTTGAACATTTTCAGCTGACCTTTTTGGCAAGTAAACACGATCATTTTGTTTTGTTTAAAAACTGCTGGACAACGAATGCTTTCTCATTGGAGAAAACTAAATTCGGCAGTTTACCACTTTCGGTCAAGCGAAGCAACTCTTTAGAATCTATTTTCTATTTTTTGTTGCGGTGTAAGTTCTTGCACTTTTTGGAATTTCAATGGCTTTTCCCCGAGCTCATTTTGCAATATTTGCCGAATGGAATATTGCGATATGTTCAGCCCACGAGCCATTTTTCGGCCACTGCGACGCGGGTTTTGATCAAGCCGCTTCTTTACTTTTCCGAACCATTTCTGCTGATGTTGCTGTTTTCTTTCGTCCACGTCGCTTGACGACGGGCTACGCTACGCCAGTATCACGGTAACGAGCGATGGTACGAGACACAAAAGATTTATTCACATTTAAATGCTGGAGTGCTCTAACGATAGCCCCTTGTGGTTTTCCAGCCAAACATAAAGAAATCACACTATCACCCTTGAATTCCATCACGAATAACTGTTTTTCTGGAAAATTCTCACCAAAATGCTTTTGTACGCTTGTAAACAATATAATGAGCTGTCACTGGAATAATTTTAACAGATGTCGGACGAGTGGCTTAGAAATGACAACAGTCTGAAGTTGGTTGCAGTTTTTTTCCATCTCACCCGACATTTTTTTAAATAAAAATCAGAATTGAATCTACACCCAAACGAAGCTGTTGTATTCCTTTCTCACTTTACATTGCTTGGGTCGAGCCGGATAGAGAATAGAATTGACAATCGAAGAGGGAGATTGGATTTTGTTCTCATTATTAAAAACAGAAGGTATTGGTTAAAAGCTGCCTGCGCGATCATACAATAGATGCTATTCAACAACACATTTCCCACTCTTTTTGACTTAAGCTGGGAATACATAAAGCGCTTATTTGGGTGGCTTAAGTCATCGGCTAGCTTCTTCGAAAATGAACAAAGGAGCCTAGGGCCAAAATCGAACTAGGTCAACCTAAAACTCCTTTGTTCATTTACGAAGAAGCCAGCCAAATATGCACTTTATGTATTTCCAGCCTTAGCCATTAATGAAGCTTTTTATGTAGCTGTACCTTAAAAGTGAGGCGTGACCCCAAACATTGTGTAATCTTACAAGACTCCGCTCAGTATACACGTCAAAATTCTGGACATTTGTGTGAACCTTACAAAGTCGCTGTAAGAAATTTAAATAAATGATTCTTGTTTTCCTTACCTTGTGGTACATCAGCTCCCATATAAAGCGGTGCTCCTTCAAAGTCCACAATATTGCCATCATCGTCAAAGAAAACTGTCAGATTACCAACATATTTGGCATATGCTCCGGCCTGGACAATCAAGACACGATGTCCCGATGCATGGGTAATTTGTGTAGGATAATCACCTCTTGGTTTATCGGGACCCGGTGGATTATCACCGGTATAAAGGAAAGTATGCGAATGCGAACCAACGATGACATCAACTTCTGAGCCAGCATTGGCGGCAATCAGTTGGTCCACATCATAGCCACAATGGGAAATGACAATAATGATGTTGGCACCTTCAGCCTTCAGTTTTTGGGCCTCCTCAACAATGGTGTCACTTTCATTGCGGAATATTAATTTGCCGGTGTTTGCAAGATCCTGAAAAAGTAGAACGCCGTAATTTATTAGGCAATATCTCGTGTAATGATTTCAACTTACATAGGTCGTCTCCAGGATCACACCAATAACACCGATTTTGCGATTGTTCCTCACAATAATGGTGGAGTTTTTATAAATACCCTGCATGGTTGGTTCATTGGTGGCATCCATGTTGGCGACCAACATGGGGCTGTTTAGTGATTCAATGAAAGGCACAACACCCTCAACGCCATGATCGAATTCATGATTGCCCAGTGTCTAAAAGAAAGTACATTTTGCAACTTACATAAATATCACAAATTTTGGGGAGCTCTTACCATTGCATCAGCTGGCAACATATTCAAAAATTGACTTGTAACATTCCAGCGCCCAACATTGTACCACAACGTGCCCTGGAAGCTGTCACCGGCATTAAAATACACAGCATTTTTATCCTTTTGTTCTTCCAGCAACTTTTTAACAGTGTACACGGTACGAGCATAACCACCGATACAAACCTCATCGGCATCACAATTTCCACCCGTGCCATCGGTGGGTTCAAACCTGTGGAGTAGATGAATATCGCATGAAATTAGGGGAACTTTTTGCTGGGTATTTGATCACTTGTCAGTGGGCATTAGCTTAGAACGTTAATATATTGTTAATGAATGGTTTGTAGATTAGATACGTCTGTCGGGCAATTTGTTTTCATTTTGAAATACAACACCCAATGTGAGCGTATTTCGCTTATCTTTGAGTTATAAATCCGATTCTTATCAGTCAAACCCTAAAAAATGTTGAGATACGATGCGATAATCGCAATCATATTGACATATTGAAACGAAAAATTTCTCTTGAGATTAGGTTATTCGTGGAATTGTTATGGATAAAGACAATTGACGTTGTTTCATGTTCTCCGTTCTTTCAATTATTTTTTGAGTTGCCGATCAAAATCGTTAAAATTAGAATTCATGTAATTTCGGTAATTAACGACATTTTTCGGTAAGTTTAGGTGAGAATACATAAAACGCATTTTTTTGCCTGGCTTAAGTCATTGGCTGGCTTCTTCTTTATGGTTAAATTTTGCCAAAGGTATTTCGGCGTCAATGTTGCCTTGAAGCCGGCTCGTCCAAGGCAGATCTACTAGGTAGTCGCATTGTCCCAGTTGATGGCACCATTAAATGTTAAAACAAATTGTTGTAATATTCAATTCGCTCAAAAGCACGATCTAGGCGACCAACTGACTGGTCCTGAACGATATTTTTTTAAATAAGTTAAGCGTATGGATGGATGAAAAGAGTCAGGACGATAAGGCATTAAAGAAAAACGTTTCTAAGATAATAAGTCCAGATATTGGCCTTTTTCGAATGGTCCATACATAAAGAATATTATTTATAAAAACATGGTTGAAATTAAGCATGGTATTAGTTTTGCTGAATCTCTGCCCTTATCTCGACATACTCTTGCCCGGAATCGCGTATAAATAGGGTAATTAATTCCAGCGGCTATAATTTAAAGATTAGCTGTAAATGTTTTTCTTTTGCGCTAGATGAGAGCACAGACATAAATGACGTTTGTCAGCTAGCTATTTGTATTAGATGCGTAGATGCCGAATATAACATATTCGAAAAAATATTTACCATAGAGCCTATGCATGCGCAATGTAAAAGAGAAGACAGTTTATGATATTGCTGCTGAAAAACTTTTGTCTCTTGTAAACTCTGTTAAATTAGCTGGAGTTTCTACAGACGGAGCAAAAGTCATGTGTGGTAGTTCATTGGACAACTTTTAAAAAATAATTATGACTTTAATACTTTTCATTGCTTAATTTACCAATTCGCACTGGCTATCAAATTTATATCGGAACACCCCTCAATGAAGCTAGCCGAAAAATTTATAAATTAAATCCGTGGAGGTCATAACTCATTAAATCGTAGGAAATTCGTTAGTTTCTTCGTTCTCATACGGATCTGAAACTTTTCACAGAAGTGAGATGGCTTAGGCGCGGACAGTGTCTTAACCATTTATTTGAATACAGGACATGTGTGCAAGAATTTTTATAATTGGAAAGTGTCGAAGCATGTCTACTTATGAAAGATCAGGAGTTTTTATTGCATCTGGCATTCTTAACAGATATTTCAACCATATTGAATAATTTTAATGTTGAACTTCAAGGCAAAGCAAAGAATATATGTCATTTATGGAAAACTGTTGTGGAATTTAAAAAAAAAAATTCTTATGGCAGAAGAGTTGAAGTCCAGTAATTTCTCAAATTTTCCCAAAATCGAAATAATTTTTATGAAAGACGAACTTTAAAATATGAGAGCATGTTTTAATGATAGAAGACATTTTGCATAACATGGAACAAAGGTTTCAAGATTTTGAACCTATAAAACCATTACTGGACATATACAAAAATCCATTCAAATGTGATATCACGCAATGTGAATTTGTCGTACAGTCAGAATTAATCATTATTCGTAGTGAAATGGAATGTCCCGTAGAAGTGGAACCTACTAAATTTTTATTGTTGATGAAAAACTTTTGTCTCTTGTAAACTCTGTTAAATTAGCCGGAGTTTGTACAGACGGAGCAAAAGTCATGTGTGGTAGATCATTGGACAACTTTTAAAAAATAATTATGACTTTAATACTTTTCATTGCCTAATTCACCAATTCGCACTTGCTATCAAATTTATATCGGAACACCCCTCAATGAAGCTAGCCGAAAAAATTATAAATAAAATCCGTGGAGGTTATAACTCATTAAATCATAGAAAATTCGTTAGTTTCTTAAAACAAAAGGGTGCCACATATACGGATCTGAAACTTTTCACAGTGAGTGAGATGGCTTAGTCGCGGACGGTGTCTTAATCGTTTATTTGATCACAGGACATATGTGCAAGAATTTTTATAATTGGAAAGTGTTGAAGAATGCCTACTTATGAAAGATCAAGAGATTTTATTGCATCTGGCATTCTTAACAGATATTTCAACCATATTGAATAATTTTAATGTTGAACTTCAGGACAAAGGAAAGAATATATGTCTATTATGGGAAACTGTTGTGGAATTTAAAATACAAATTTTTCTTTTAGCAGAGGAGTTGAAGTCCAGTAATTTCTCTAATTTTCCCAAAATCGAAATAATTTATATGAAAGATGATGACAACTTTAAAATATGCGAGTATGTTTTAATGATAGAAGACATTTTGCATAACATGGAACAAAGGTTTCAAGATTTTGAACCTATAAAACCATTACAGAACATCTACAAAAATCCATTCAAATGTGATATCACGCAATGTGAATTTGTCATACAGTCAGAATTAATCATTCTTCGTAGTGAAATGGAATGTCCCGTAGAAGTGGAACCCAATAAATTTTGGAAAAACATAAAGACATCGGAATATCTTCACATTAAAGAGATTTCTTATAAATGCCTTTCCTTCTTCGGAACAACATATTTTTGTGAACAAATATTTTCCGATTTAAAATATCTCTGCTCATACCGTCAGAATAAATCATTCTTCGTAGTGAAATGGAATGTCCCGTAGAAGTGGAACCCACTAAATTTTGGAAAAATATAAAGACATCGGAATATCCTCATATTAAAGAGGTTTCTTATAAATGCCTTTCCTTCATCAGGACCAACATATTTTTGTGAACAAATATTTTCCGATTTAAAATATCTCTGCTCAAAACAACAGAATAGGTTGAGTTCGTCACAACTACGCAACATTGTGCTGTTACGAAATTGTAGCAAGAGTATATTAATTGAGGATCTTATAAAATAATGATGTGAATTTTGTTCTTTCAAAATTAAGTGGGTTAAGATATATTCAGTAATGGTAGTATATGATCAAAATCCTTCTCATTGATACATATAATGAAAAATGCCTTGAATTCATTTATTGTTCATTTTTAAAGAAAATGAACATACTTTTATGATTTGTGTTTGTTTAGCCTTTGAGGCATGAATTGTTGACATCGAAGTCTTTTTTTACCCTCCACCATACTATGGTAACTCCTCGAAATACTCATGTCAGACCCAAGAAAGTATATGTATTCTTGATCAGCGTAAAATTCTAAGTCGATTTAGCCATGTGCGTCTGTCTGTCCCTTTGTCTGTTGTAATCACGCTATCTTTTGAACGAATTGAGATAGAAGGCTACCATTTTGCACACGTGTTTATTTTTAAGATCGTAAATGGGCCATATAGGTCCACGTTTTCCTATTGCCCCATATATCGAAATGGATACTACAGGCCAAGACAGAAAATTGTCTATGCAGGTCCACGTCTTCGTATAGCCCCCATATAACGGTACCTCCCGATATTCGGTATTTTGATGATTTTAGCGACATTATTCACCGGAATTGTTTCAAATTTGGTATTTGAAGTTCGAAATGGATACTACAGCCTATGACAGAAAATTATCTGCGGAGGTCCACGTCTTCGTATAGCCCCCATACAACGGTTCCTCCCGATATTCGGTATTTTGATGATTTTTGCGACATTATTCACCGGAATTGTTTCAAATTTGGTATTTGAGATTCGTAATGGATACTACAGCCCAAGACAGAAATTTGTCTGTAAAGGCCCACGTCTTCGTATAGCCCCCATATAACGGTACCTCCCGATATTCGGTATTTTGATGATTTTAGCGTCATTATTTAACGGAATTGTTGCAATTTACGTATTTAGAGTTCGAAATGGGAACTACAGTCTTTGACAGAAAATTGTCTATGCAGGTACAGGTCTTCGTATAGGCCCCATCTATCAGTACCTCCCTATATTCGGTAGGTACAATACCCAGCGAAATTTTTTGAGATGTCGCATTTGACGTTCGTGATGGATGCAATAGCCTGTGACAGAAAATTGTCTATGCCAGGTCCAGGTCTTCGCACAGCTCCGATATAACGGCACCTTCCTATATACGATATTTTGATGATTTTAGCTACATTATTCACCGTTTATTTCAAGTTTTGAATTTGAATATGGTAATGGCTCATAACAAACAAGGCCTATGTCGGTCCACGTCGTATAGACTCCAATATAACGGCTATATTCGATATCTTTAAAATTTTACCAGAATTGTTAAAGATTTTATTTTTTGAAAGCTTCCAAATTCGTTCCAAATGGTAGAGGGTATTCAAAGTTCGGCCCGGCCGAATTTACTGCTTTTTAACTTGTTCATTCCACTTTGATTATGCATGTATACGTAAACAACCATCAGCTGAGCGGCATTTATATCCTCCCATGGTAGAAGAATTAAGGTAGTCGTATCGACACAGCTGCTGGGACAATGAACTTCAAATCAATTTTAGAATTTAAAGTTTTGAATGAAAAGTGATTGAAATTTGTAAATATCAACCTGCAATTGGCGTGATATAAGAAAACTTATAAAAATCTACTTATTTTAGAGAAAAAGTAAAAAAAAATGTTTGACATATCAACGTTCCCAAGCGTTGATGCATCTACCTGTATTCTTTAATGTATGTATCCTCCTATTCTTTCAAAACATATTCACATTTTGTGTATGTGTGTGTATTGTTTTGAATAAAA